CCCTCTTCTATATATATATATATATATATATATAGATGTTTGAAAAGATTTAAGGGAACAGTATCTGTTTTTGTTTTTTGTTGATGCAACCAAAGGCAAGAGCACAACAAAAAAGATGTTATTTTCCATCATTTTTCGCTAGTTTGCGAAATATTCTTGATAATTATGCAATTTTTTATATTAAAAAACATATGACAATAATAATAATAATGATAATAATAATCAAGAATAAAAAGTTCACATCTCAGGGCTAAATGCCATGTGTGAGTCGCTGTCATGAAAGCAAAACAAAATCATGAAATACTAGTAGGGATATGCATCTCTGTTTGCCACAAAAAGAAAAGAAAAGAGAGGAGCACAATCATGTTCTAACTTTTTTAAACATCAATACGTGCTTTCTGCCTCACAATCCACTCCTCATCAATGAATGATAAAACAGTAATGGATTTTCATTACATATGTTACGGAAATATTTTTTGAATAGCTTTTAATTATTTTCTCGAAATAGAAAGGATAAAAAATATTTTTTTATTCTAAAAAACTTAAAAAATTCACTTTAAAATTGTTTTAAAAAATTTATTTTGTGTTTAATTGGGCCAAGAAAAAAATATTAAAATTTTATTAAATTAAGCCAAATCCAACCTCATTTATTAAAAAAAAAGAAACATGGTTTTGAGAATTTTAATATCATGTTACAATTCATATTATTTTTAATTTTTGTTTTTTTTATAAATCAAATTAGGTTTTCATTTCTTAGATAAGAATGTTTTTTTTAATCTTTTCTCATTTTCCTCTCCCGTGTGTTATCATGATTTTATAAAAACACTTTAAAACAAAACTATAATATACAAATTCAAGAAGTAGGCTATTTAATAATTAATTCTAGATAATATCATAACAATCTCAAGGGATTGACGAGGTTCGACTTTCTACATTAAAATCTTGAGGGTAGCATCCAAAAACATTATTAAATCTCTCTAAATCTATCAAATCATTATGGAAAATATGCTTTTAAATTATTCAAAGAGAAGACTTAGTATACATGATAGAGCTGTGGTGAGATGTGAATTTTTTTTTAAAAAAGAAAACTTGTTTTTGGTGGTAGTTTTTTATGCATTAAATGAGCTGTACATTAAGAAAAAAAATAATTATAAATAAACAAAGAGAATATTATAATTTTTGAAAACTAAAAATGAAAAATCAAGGGAACATTGATGAATCTATAGAGGCTAAAATAAAGCTTGCCAACTTCCGTCTTCTGGGCAGTATACAAAAACCAGAAATGGGAAGAAGACACGCACATCCAACCCTTTTAACCTTTGAAGTTCCTCCATTTGTACAAAGCTCGACACATATTTCTCGTAATTAATTTCCATGGGTGTGCACTAGTGAAGAGAGAAACCAGTGAAATAAAAATAAAACCAGTTAAAAAAAAAAGAACACTAATATTTAAGGAGAAATTGAAGAGAGATCACGCGGGATTGCCCTACGCATGTCCTCCATTGTCTAGATGACAGGGACACTAGAAAACGACTGAATAACAACAGAGGCATTCACGACTCTCCCTCTCTCCTCCTCTCTTCAATTCAGCCCATCTTTTTTCTTTTTTAATCCTTTATTTTCATTTAAAAAAAAAAAGTAAATTCACAACCAATGATGACTAAACTAGGTTACTCTTGGTGCTGTGCCAGGACTTGGAACAATTGTTTTTAAATGTAAAAAAAAATAAGATATAGATGTAAGAAATTTTTGGAATTTTTATTAAACTTGATGTACAATTCCCAGTTTAACCTGAGTTTCAAATTAAATGATGTAAGAGTTTTTTCAAAATAATTTTATTATTTTAGCAAGTTTAAAAAAATAAAAAAATAAAAAAATAATAATACATATTAACCTTGCCCAGCTAGCTTAATTTGCGTTATAAATTCTATTAGATTTAATTATTTTATTACATGATAAAAATAAAAAAAATAATTTAAAATTAATAAAAGATTAAAGGATAAAAATTTAAAAAATTAAAATAAAAAAAACCATATGCATGAGCCTAAATGACTTACAAACCTAAGTTTGTTTTTTTTTTTTAAGAAAAAGGAAAGACACAGGAGCTAATTGTTTTTTTCTTTTTCAAGGGATTGTTTGCCTCTTTCTATTTTTTATTTCTGTTTAAATAAATAAAAAACATTGCATCATTTGCTAAGTTATAACCTAGATTTCAACAACCAACTAATTTCAACCACCGACCAAAAAAAATTAATAGGAGAGGTTTTTTGGTTGGTATCCATTTTTAACTCATGTTTATTTGAAAAAAAATTTAGAACATCATAAAAATCTTATCAAACTACATAATAATTTAAAAACACTTCAAAATCACCTAAAAAGAGAAAAAATCTAATTTAATGAAAAATCTCGAGCTCAATCTCATTTCTTAGGGATATTCAAGGAAAAAAACCATTGACACATGAATTTCTTCACCAAAAAATGGCTAAACTAAAGATTTTCTCTCCTATCACATGTTGGGAAAATACCCCTAAACTTCACTCATTTTTGTTTATCCTCTTATCTCCACTCATATATATGTCTGCACCTATTTTTATGTATATTGTGCACGGATAAACATACATGAACCTGACAAACTGAAGGAAACTGTAAGAAGCTATTGGGCAAAAAGAGAAAGAAAAGAAAATTCAGTCATCACCATCCTATTTTGTTACAAATTAAGAGTGGTAAAACACTCAGCCTTATTTTTCAGTTTCTCCTCTTATAGCGAAAACAACCCATTAACATAACGTTTGTGTTTCACTCCCATGTAAGTTTTAACCCCAGCACGTACTAATTGTGCGAACTTTTTGAAGGGCTAGCTTGACAGTGATGTAATTAGAGGTCAGATAAATAATAGATAAATGTTAAAGATAATAAAGGGAGAGAATAATTCATTGTTTCTTAAATTTGTTTGTTGTTCTTATGTTTTCTTCCACAAGAGGGCCAAAGAATGGGGAGAGGAAAGGTGGTTTTGGAGAGGATAGAGAACAAGATCAGTCGTCAGGTAACTTTCTCCAAGAGAAGAAATGGTTTGCTCAAAAAAGCTTATGAACTCTCGCTTCTTTGCGATGCTGAGGTTGCTCTTATCATCTTTTCTAGCCATGGCAAGCTTTTTGAGTTTAGTAGCATTGAGTAAGCTTATCTTTCTCCCCACTTTTTCGTTTATTTATATTCCTATCTTCCTCTCCTGCTTTCTTCTGTTGTTTGCTTCAAGATTCTTTCACCAAACTTTAGCGCAAATGATATAGTGAAAGAGGGAGGGAGATTTGGTTAACACGCAGACTTCCTCAGTTCCTTGGATCCCCAAGGAAGGGAGATCGGATTTCTTTCTCTCTTTTTTCTTTTTTTAATCTTTTAAATTGGGGTTTTCAAGTACTACTTAATTTCCAATGCTATCTCGACACGTTTTTGTGTGTCCTTTGTTATTCATGACGCCTCTACAGTGACAAGTGTCCAGCCAGATTCAAGACTGACAGGTTGGGTTGGGGGGGTGGG